TATCCAACAATAGCCTTTGTCTCAATTCTCACTTCCAGAAATGAAACTGTTATCCGCAACCTTTCTCTATTTGTAAAACATGCTGTTGTCTTGAGAAATGATAGGTTATCTAAGCAATAACCATTATAATTGCCATTGTATTATGTACTGTAGTTATGTATATGTATGTAACTCCTTGTATATGGGCCGGAGGCCTTGAATACAATAAACTTGACTTGACTTGACATAATCGATCATGATAAGTTATTCCACTGCCTCAAGACATGAACTGGATTATCAGCCACTTCTTTCAAGTGGTTTGAATCCTATCCTCGTTCTGTTAAAGCCTCATCATATCCAGTTCCTCTTAACTGCGGCGTACCACAGGGTTCGGCCCTTGGTCCGATCCTATTCACCCTATATACAGCTTTTCTTAGTGTTGTCATCGATGCCCATGCACGTTGCCCATCACGCGTACGCTGATGACACACAGCTACACAAATCATTTCCCGAACGAGATACCTCTACAGCACTTAGTGACCTTGAACACCGCACGTGTGCGATAAAATCCTGGATGCTGACCAACAAACTGAAGCTAAACGACAGGAAGACAGAGGTTCTTGATGTGGGTACTCCAAACGAAAATCTATCTCTGACTCTTCGCTTCGTATTGGTGACTCATCAATACCATTCTCGGATGCAGTGAAATATCTTGGTGTCTTTCTAGACTCTAATATGACAATGGACAAGCATATAGAGCACACCTGTAGAATCTGCTTCTACCACCCGAGAAGTATTGGCCAGATTAAACATTTGTTGACTCAGGAAGCCATTAGCCAGTTAGTCAGGTCTCTGATTCTGTCCAGGACTGACTATGGCAACAGTTTGCTTATCAACATAAGGCAAGATCTACAAAGGTGAGGTGAGGTGAAATTGGGTTTAACGTCGTGCTTGAGAATATTTCGCTCATATGACGACGTGCATGCGTGTGTATGTGTGTGTATCTGCTTGTACTCGCCCAGACTTAAGCTGGTTTTAAAGTGCTAGCCCACTGAGATACTATGCCGCAGTGAAGCATGAATACCCCACTCAAACACATTATACTGACTCCGAGTCGACGAGTCCTTGTTGTACCCATTAATGCCGAGCGCCAGGCAGGGACCAACAAGTACCATATTTAACGTCTTTTGGTATGACGCGGTCGGGGATCGAACCCGCGACCTTCCGCTCTCCGGGCGGACGCTCTAACCACTACACCGCGGAGGCGGTCAGATCTACAAAGAGTACAAACTTAATTAACTAATTCTCCCTGTGTTATTTTTAAACTGAAATAGAAAATACATTTATATAAAGTGAAATTTGTGAATATTATGAAACGTGATATGCTGGAATTAATGATCACCATAACTCTACGCCGTGATGGCATGTTTTGCGTCAGGTTCACCGGTATTCACAAAACGAGAATTATTCTTTTGTTATTTATTTGGTTGGTCGTGGGGTCAGATGGCGTTATACACATGTTACACATGTTATATTTGGTATTACAGTACTGATTTTCTGTTCAGTGCAATCCATCATGCCAGTATTATGAAAGAATTGCGTGTTCTTATCTTCTTTTGACTAGTATGTCAATAGTTACGAACATTTTGAAAAGGTTCCATCCGGATTTAGCAATGCATGTAACATGCGAAGTTCTTGAAAGGCATTTAGAAGTTGGATGACCATGACTACATGACACGTTTTATGGATCTTCTTTTCATTCTTAAAAGGGTCGTTGGGGTAGCCTAGTGGTTAAAGCGTTCGCTCCTCACGAATTAGGTCCGGGTTCGATTCCCCACATGGGTACAATGTGTGAAGCCAATTTCTGGTGTCCCCTGCCGTGATATTGCTGGAACGGCGTAATACCATACTCAGTCAGTCATTCTTAAAACTAATCTATTCTTGCTCCATCATCAGGTGAATGGTGCGTCAGTGTGCAGAGTGAATATATATGGGAGAATGTACAAAGGCAACAATATGATCATGAAGCGAATGACCACGAAGCGATGTCTCTCCAATGTATTTATCTCCACAGTTGCATGCTATTTCATACACACATCATCTAATGTTTGGGGTGGCAGTTGGCATGAAACATGTCTTTTAGTGTCTGAAGTAAAAGTGACGTCCAGTTTGGTTATTCTTAGCTTTCTGCTGATCTGGTGACTGGTAGGAACTTCGTATGGGATGCTGGCGAGGTTTGGTGATAGGCTTGGGCTTGGGCATGGGCATGGGCATGGGCTTGGGCTTGGGCTTGGGCTTGGGCTTGGGCTTGGGCTTGGGCTTGGGCTTGGGCTTGGGCTTGGGCATGGGCATGGGCTTGGGCTTGGGCATGGGCATGGGCTTGGGCTTGGGCTTGGGCATGGGCTTGGGCATGGGCATGGGCATGGGCATGGGCTTGGGCTTGGGGGGCTTGGGCTTGGGCTTGGGCTTGGGCTTGGGCTTAGGCTTGGGCTTGGGCTTGGGCTTGGGCTTGGGCTTGGGCTTGGGCTTGGGCTTGGGCTTGGGCTTGGGATCTTTTGGCTATGTGGCAAGGGCTTTCCGTGTGGTTTTCGCCACACATCTAGTTCAAGATGTCCGTTGAATGCTTGTCAACGTATCCCCGCCTCAGTGGAGAAATGATCAATAATGTCTTGTGTTCTTAGCGAATACAACAGCCTGTCTCGCCCGGCCAAGCACTTCAACTGCATGCACCTGAGATGTGTAATATTGCCGGTAAGGATCAATAACTGAAATCACTTGAACCACATTCGATTATATAAAATTACTTCTAATGACAGTCTCTTATACTGTGTGTATTTGTTCGCTGGCTTTATTTATGAGTAGGTGCAGTCTTACGTCAGGTTTTGAATCTCACTTTATTTTTTGACATCAAATATATCTACACGAGCCGATATCACACTTACTCACCAGTGTCTCGGAGGGTTTGATAAAACGGGTTTCAAACTGCACCAATGTAGGATTCGAAACCCGGTCTTCGGCGTGACGATTGAACTCTTTAACCACTAGGCTACCCCACCACCCCTATTCTTGAGAAGATGAGAGAATACATCATCATCATGATCATAATCATCAAGTTGTAGGTGTTCCAGCTCGATACAGATCCCCAGCATCCTGTGCCAGTGGCAACATACCTGATGGTCAGACTCGCTGACGTATTGATTTGTGTCAACGTATCCCATTTGGTACATAGATGCTCATGATGATCACTGAATCGTCTGTCCCAGACTCGATTATGTGCATACTAATGTCACATAACTGGAATGATGATGTGTGCGTCGTTAAACAAAACCATCAACCAATGACACTTGTATATCCAGAGAACTACCGTCAATACATTTTCCTTGATGTTTTTCACTGAAGTATGCTACGCTCTGTTTGATGGTATATACTTTTGTACACCGATAAAAGTGTTTTTATTCGTTCAAATATCTAATGTATGCCAGAGAACAGCATGGTTGACAATAATCTTCTCTTTAAAACAAGTGATCAGTTTAAGTGGAAGCAAGAAAGCCAGTCGACACAATGTTTCTTTTGTTTTGCAATGTTTCTACTTCGTTGCCAATAGAGACATTGGGACTGCACACAAGTACAGTAATTATTGCTGTCATCGCACTATATACAGTTAATCAGACTACGTTCCGAAATGAACTAAGTACAGTTGAAGCTTGCCATTGTGGAAACATCGTGATGTGAGTACAATTTGTTTATACAAGCAGATGCAAGTAGCATAGAGTTTACTGTTAATTATTGATTCAACAATATGTATGTATGTATGTATGTATGTATGTATGTATGTATGTATGTATGTATGTATGTATGTATGTATGTATGTATGTATGTATGTATGTATGTATGTATGTATGTATGTATGTATGTATGTGTGTGTGTATGTATATCGGCATGCCAGATTCAGCCAGAGGCAGTGGAACAGGATTGTATCAGTGACGAGTCACGCTTTACATTGCACTTTGCAGGGAACAGGGGTAACGCAAGTGAGGGGAACATCGCACACATCCTTGTGACCGTAGTCCCCTTAACACTGCGCCGCGACCGTTCTGCCATTTTTGTGCGGTCTAAAAATGACCAGGATGCTCAACGGTCGCCAAACTTCAAGAAAAACATGTTTCTGTGTAACTGCTCTGGCGATCATTCAGCATTCGAATTCCTTGTAGGACCAAAATGCACGTTTCTGGCATTTTCGTGGCGATCTGCGAGCGTCCTGTGCGTCCTTTCAGCGACACTTCTGCCTTCCTTCTACCTCTTCCACGGCCATACGCAACCAACGGCAACTAACGGTAACCAACGGCAACCAACGGCGACCATTCAGCGATGCTTCTGTCTTCTAGCCGACCCTTGAGAACTCTTTAAGCAATCTTTGGCGTTCCTTGCGCGTTCTTTCAGCGATGTGTGGCGACTGTTCAGCATCCTGCATATCCTGGGTATATAAACATGTGGTCTGCCATTCTATCATCAGTTTTATTGAAAACCGTCTCATTGCGATACAATCAGACATGAACAATGAACTGCGTATGTATACAGCTTTTTGCAAGGTCAACAAGCACTGTTTTATAACCAAATAGTCGTTGCCATCCTAAAATGAAGGACAAATAGATGCAGAAGAAGAAGAAGATTGAGATCCTGCTGGGTCCGCCCCTGGTTGATGCAACACAGACGGCGGCGATCCGGTGACCACAACCAACTAATGCAAGAAGTCTTGAAGATTAAGGTTAATTCTATAACTACCTTAGAATGGAGTCAGCTCTTTTCGACTAACTGCTTGAAAGAGTTGGCACAAGAATTGTCAATAAGAACACATATAGGCGAGCAAGTCTAGAGTCTGGTCTGAAGCTCGCTGTGACCCTCAGGTTCCTTGCTACTGGGAACAAGTATCCAAGCCGCCAGTACCAGTACCGTGGGTAAAGTTTCAGACATCTCTGAATCAGTGTTTGATTCATTTACAATTTCATGACCAACATTAGAGGATGGCTTTAGTTTTAGAGGCACCTTTGCGGGTTTTGGATCTTCGTCTAGTTGAATACTTCTTTGGCGGCATGGTGAGACGGCGGTTTGCAAACTCTTTGAAAACCAGCCGAACCAGGCCTATTTATAGGTAGTCTGGAAAGGCAATGCAATGAGCCCAACGGTGGCAGATAGGAGGCAGAAGGAAGGCAAAGGAAGGCAGAGCCATTGCCACAGTCGCTCCTGGGATGCCGTTGTCGCCGGATGAAGCCACAGTGCTCAATTCACGCTGTTGGTTGTGCAGAGAACGCACATGGACGGCACAAAGAAGGCAGTGGCGTCGTCCCGGTTCACGGAGCTATCACATGGTGTCTTTTCGCCGACCGTTGTGCGTTCATTCTGCGACCACGGCGATGCCTCTGCCTCCTTTCTGCCTTGTTCGAGCGTTCTTTGTGCAACGACCGCTCTGCGCTTGTATTGAACATGTTCAATACAGTCACCATGGCGTTATGTGCCGTCCATAACGATGTCTGTGCCTTCTTTGTACGACCTCTGCATGGCCTTCACAATCATTCTGCCTTCTTCATGCGTTCAGAGGCGTTCTAAATCTGTTTATAACGCACGGAAAAGGCAGAACGGTCGCGGTTCTGTGTAAAGGGGTATAAGGTTGGCCGATTTCTGGAGGGAAGCATAAAGTTTTGACCTGAACTATATATACTGTATGTTATAGTAAAGCACGAGGGCGGAGCATACCAGAATCTGCATTGTGTACCGTGTTTGCTATAATAGGCGCTGGGCTTCTTAGGTGTACGGTAGGCGAGTGAGTGAGCATTGTTTAAAACTGCTTTTAGTAGTATTCAACCAATATTTGTGAGTTGTTACGAAAATTGGCATTGAGATTAGTATGAAAACTGTAACATAAGCGACATTGTATTTTATGAGTAAAGTATAATTATTATTTTACCAGATGGAGCTCCTGTGTGCAGCTATCGGTTACCTGGAGTAAAGTATGATTATTATTTTACCAGATGGAGCTCCTGTGTGCAGCTATCGGACACCTGGAGTAAAGTATGATTATTATTTTACCAGATGGAGCTCTGTGTGCAGCTATCGGATACCTGGAGTAAAGTATAATTATTATTTTACCAGATGGAGCTCCTGTGTGCAGCTATCGGATACCTGGAGTAAAGTATGATTATTATTTTACCAGAAGGAGCTCCTGTGTGCAGCTATCGGCTACCTGGAGTAAAGTATGATTATTATTTTACCAGATGGAGCTCCTGTGTGCAGCTGTCGGTTGCCTGGTTGTTTGTATCAGCACCTGTGGTAAGTACTGGCGTTCTAATGTCAGTGACTGGATTCAGATTTGGTTGGATTTAACTCATGTAAATCAGTGGTTATCGAGCATAAGGTAGGACAATCCCTTAACTAGAGTAGAACATAACCTGAGATACAATATGGCTGCCACAAGCAGGAGTGAGCGAGTGAGTTTTGTTTTATGCCGCGTTTAGTAGCATCCCAGCAATATCACGCCAGAAAAACCAAAAATGGGTTTCACACATTGTAACGCAGTTTCACACAATCGAACCTGGACCTTCGGCGTGACGAGCGAACGCTTTAACCTCTAGGCTACTTCAGCGCCCAGTGAGGAGTACAAGAAACGCCATGGCCAAGCGTATTGCACAGAACTATAGAACCATGAGATGGTTACGTGTTTCTTTCCAAAGTTAAACTGACATTGTAGGTTTCTGTTTAATGCCTGTAAAACCAAAAAGGTTTAATATAACATACAATAAAAATGAGAGAGAGAGAGAGAGAGAGAGAGAGAGAGAGAGAGAGAGAGAGAGAGAGAGAGAGAGAGAGAGAGAGAGAGAGAGAGAGAGAGAGAGAGAGAGAGAGAGAGAGACAGAGAGAGAGAGAGAGAGACAGACAGAGAGAGACAGGGTATCATTGTTTCTTAGCAAGTATCATCTCAAATCGACGAACATTAAACATCCAAGGCCGGCACTTGTTTATCGGGTCATTAAAAAAAGATTCTTAACTGTCTTTTTTCTTTATTCTTTGGAAGACATGAAATTTTGAAATCTCCTGAGAAATTAACTCAATTGCATTCGTAATCTCATGAGAACAGTCCAACATTCAGACTGTATTGTAAGTGATCAGGTCGTTTTCATGTAGTATAACTGTTGTATAACACTCAGCATTATTCCCGCTACCGCAATCCCTATATTAGACGCCGGATCGATCTGCAATCGATCAGTGACTACACCAAGTATGACCGTACAGTTTAAACCACGAATTTAATTAATTAATTAAATCCATACCGACAGCATGCTCATAGCGCAGACAAGATAAGTAAGTATACTCCTAGATCTTTTACAGAAGTTGAGAAGCAAATCTCTGTTTTCCCAATAGTTAGCTTACTGATGTTCACCTTTGACGTTCGGGCTTTAGGACCCACAAGCATTGCCGCTGTCTTTTCCTCATTTAGTTTGAGCAAATTGTCAGTCATCCACGACTTCGCAGAAAAGCAGCAGTCCTCAATATTGGTCAAAATCTTTGTCACTAACCGGGAGAAAGCTGTCGACCATCTGGGTGTCGTCAGCATATAGATGATGCAGTACCTGGTGATTGCTGTTCCCTGTTCCAGCTGCCTGGTATATAGGGTGAAGACTAACGGTCCCAGCACAGAGCCCTGCGGTACTCCGTAGTCAAATGTAACGGTGAAGGAATGACACGTCTTGATGACTACTCACTGTTTTCGGTCAGTCACATAGGACGGAAACCAGTACAAAACGGTCTCTCCAATTTCATTTGTAGCCTACTCAAACGCTGCTGAGAGATCTAGCAGGACTAATAGGCTGGGTTATCAACTGATTGCTGAGAAAGTACTTTGCAGAGGGTTGTGGGCTATTCAGACCTAAATGAATTTTTGTCCAAGCAAGATTTTTGGGTAGTTTTTTGTGCTCACTGCACAATTCCCATTGTAACGGGTCATAAACGCGTTACAGAAGCATGACCGTTTTGAGTTCAGATATAGGTGTCTCAGGATTATCCTGGGCAATATATGGAAAACAGAAGGCTTTAATATTTCCATCACTTAATGGAACCTATAACATAAATCCGGTAGGGAAGACAGTATAGGGAAGGTGGTGGGGAAAGTGTTATAGGGAAGGCGGTATAGGGAAGGCAGTATAGAAGGTGGTATAGGGAAGGTGGTATAGGGAAGGCGGTATAGAAGGCGGTATAGGGAAGGCGGTATAGAAGGTGGTATAGGGAAGGCGGTACAGAAGGTGGTATAGGGAAGGCAGTATAGAAGGTGGTATAGGGAAGACGGTATAGAAGGTGGTATAGGGAAGGCGATATGGAAGGTGGTAAAGGAGAGGTGGTATAGAAGGTGGTATAGGGAAGGCAGTACAGAAGGTGGTATATGGGGAAAGGTGATATGGAAGGTGGTATATAGGGGAGGCGGTATGGAAGGTGGTATAGTGGGGGAAGGCGGTATAGAAGGTGGTATGGGGAGAGGCGGTATGGGGAAGGTGGGTATAGGGGAAGGTGGTATAGGGGAGGCGGTATAGAAGGTGGTATAAGGGGAAGGCAGGTATATATGGTGGTACAGGGGAAGGCGGTAGGGGAAGGTGGTATAGGAGATTGTGGTATAGGGAAGGTGGTATAGGGAAGGCGGTATAGGGAAGGCGGTATAGAAGGTGGTATAAAGGGAAGGCAGTATCAGAAGGTGGTATAGGGGAAGGCGATATGGGAAGGTGGTATAAAGGGAAAGGTGGTATAGGGAAGGCGGTTGGTATAAGGAAAGGTATAATAAGGAAGGTGGTATAGAAGAAGGTAGTATAGGAAGGCGGCAGGAAGGTATAAGGGAAGGCGAAGATAGGAAGATGGTATAGGGAAGGCGGTATAGGGAAGGTGGTATAGATAGGAAGGCAGTATAGAAGGTGGGTATAGGTATAGTGGTATAGGGGAAGGTGGTATAATGAAGGTGGTATAGGGAAGGCAGTATAGAAGGTGGTATAGGGAAGGCGGTATGGGAAGGTGGTATAACTCGGGGAAGGTGGTATAGGGATGGAGGTATAATGGGAAGGCGGTATAGAAGGTGGGTATAAGGAAGGAGGTATATAAGGTGGTATAGGGGAAGGCGGTATAGGGAAGGTGGTATATAGGGAAGGTGGGTATAGGGAAGGCGGTATAGAAGGTGGGTATAGGGAAGAAGGTATGGAAGGTGGTATAGGGAAGGCGGTATAGGGATGCCGGTATAGAAGGTGGGTATAGGGAAGGCGGTATAGAGGAAGGTATAGAAGGTGGTATAGGGAAGGCGATATGGAAGGTGAAGGTATAGGGGAAGGTGGTATAGGGGAAGGTGGTAGAGTAAGGGCGGTATAGGTAAGGTGGTATATTGAAGGTAGGGTAGGCAGTAGGAGAAGGTGGTATAAAGGGAAGGCGGTATGGAAGGTGGGTATAGGGGAAGGCGGTATAGGGAAGGTGGTATAAGGAAGGCAGTATAGAGAAGGTGGTATAGTGGTATAGGGAAGGCGGTATAGGGAAGGTGGTATAGGGAAAGGCGGTATAGGAAGGTGGTATAGGGGAGGAAGGAAGGCGGTATAAGGACAGTGGTATGGAAGGTGGTATAGGGAAGGCAGTATAGAGGTGGTATAGGGAAGGCGGTATAGGGAAGGACGGTATAGAAGGTGGTATAGGGGTATAGGGAAGGTGGTATAGGGAAGGCGGTATAGGAGAAGGTGGTATATTGAAGGTAGGAAAGGTATAGAAAGGTGGGTATAGGGAAGGTGGTATAGGGAAGGCGGGTATAGGAAGGCGGTATAGGGAAGGTGGTATATAGGAAAGGTGGTATAGGGAAGGTGGTATAAAGGGAAGGCGAGTATGGAAGGTGGTATAGGGAAGGCAGGTATGGGTAAGGTGGTATAGGGAGAGATTAGGTATAAGGGAAAGGCGGTATAGAAGGTGGTATAGGGAAGGCGGTATAGGGAAGTAGAAGATTGGTATAGGGGAAGGCGCGCTATGGGAATGAGTATAGGCAGTATATAGGGAAGGTGGTATAGGGGGAAGGTGGTATAGAGGGAGAAGGTGGTAGTATAGGGAAGGTGGTATAGGTAAGGCAGTATAAAGGCGAGGTATAAATACGGTATTGAAGGTGGTAAAGGAAAAGGTGGTATAGGGAAAGGTGGTATGGAAGGGGAGAGGCGGTATAGGGAAGGTGGTATAGGGAAGGTGGTATAAAGGGAAGGTATATAGAAAGGGTATAAGGGAAGGCGGTATATAGGAAGGTGGTATAAAGGGAGGCAGTATATGGAAGGTGGGTATAGGGAAGATTGGGTATGGAAAGGTGGTATAGGGAAAGGCGGTATAGGGGAAGGCGGTATAGAAGGGAGGCGGTTAGTAGGAAGGCGGTATAGGGAAGGCGGTATGGAAGAGGTATGGGGTATAGGGAAGGCAGTATATGGAAAGGTATAGGGAAGGCGGTATGGAAGGTGGTATAGGGAAGGTGGTATAAAGGGAAGGTGGTATAGGGAGGGAAGGAAAGGTGGTAGGCAAAGGCGGTATAGGGAGTAAGGTGATAAAGGAAGGCGGTGTATGGAAAGGCGGTATAGGGAAGGTGGTATAGGGAAGGCAGTATGAAGGTGGTATAGGGAAGGCGGTTTATGGAAGGGAAGAAGGTGGTACTGGGAAGGTGGGTATAGAAGGAAAGGCGGTATAAAGGGAACAGGTATAGAAGGAAGGGTATATAGTGGTATAGGGAAGGCGGTATAGGGAAGGTGGGTATAAGGGGGAAGGTGGTATAATGAAGGCGGTATAGGGAAAGGTGGTATAGGGAAGGCGGAAGGGAGGTCGCTATAGGGACGGTATGGTATGGAATTTGGTATGGGGAGGGGGTATAGATGAGGTGGTATAGGGAAGGGGAAGGAAGGCGATATGGGGAAGGTGGTATATAGGGAAGGTGGTATAGGGAAGGTAGTAGGTAAGGCGGTATAGGTAAGGTGGTATATTGAAGGTAGTATAGGAAAGGTGGTATAGGGAAGGTGGTAGGGAAGGCGGTATAGGGAATGAGGTATGGAAAGGTGGTATGGAAGGTTATAGGGAAGGTGGTATAGGGGAAGGTGGTATAGGGACTGGTATGGAAGGTCGTGGTATAAGTCCGGTATAGAAGGTGGATATAGGGAAGGTGGTATAGGCAAGGCGGTATCGGAGAAGGTGGTATAGGGGAAGGCGCAGTATAGGGAAGACGGTATAAGGGAAGGCGGTATAGGGAAGATGTTATAGGGAAGGTGGTATAGGGAGGCAGGAGATAGGGAAGGTGGTATAGGGAAGGTAGGTAAGGAAGTATAGGCGGTATAGGGAAGGCGTGGTATAGGTAAGGCGGTATAGGGAAGAGTGGTATGAAGAAGGTATAGGGAATATAGGGAAGGTGGGTGTGAGGAAGGTGGTATAGAAGGCAGTATATGGAAGGAGGAATTATAGATATATAGGAAGGTGGTAGGTAAAAGGCGGTATAGGGAAGGTGATATAGGGAAGGCGGTGTAGGGAAGGCGGTATAGGGAAGGCAGTTTATGGAAGGAGGTATAGGGAAGGTCGTATAGGGAAGGCAGTATATGGAAGGAGGTATAGGGAAGGCGATATGGAAGGTGGTATAGGAAGGTGGTATAGGGAAGGAGTTATAGGGAAAAGGAGGTATAGGAAAGGTGGTAGGAAGGTGGGTATAGGGGAAGGTGAGAGGTATAGGGAAGGTGGTATAGGGAAGGCGGTATGGGAAGGTGGTATAGGGAAGGTGGTATAAGGGAAGGCGGTTTATGGAAGGAGGTATAGGGAAGGCAGTACTGGGAAGGTGGTATAATGAAGGCGGTATAGGGAAGGCGGTATAATGAAGGTGGTATAATGAAGGTGGTATAGGGAAGGCGAGAACTAATTAGTTGATGTGGGTATGTCACGCCTGGTTGGTTCTTCAGGATTAGGTGATCTGGGATTGGTAGAGTCCATAAGTTTTAGTATGAATGAGGTTAATAAGTGTACCCATTTCATCATTAGAATAATGAATGACAAACTCTGTAAAAGATTCAAAAATATGTTTTATTGGATGTATGGATAGATGGACAAAAATATATTTGGATGGATGCAGTATATTTTGTTGGATGCCAATTTTATACATAAGGAGTTTTTGTGCCCCAGTTTACACTATTTAAGTTAGTTTCACAGGGGCTTGTAACGCTAAAAACTGCCATCAAGGTATGTACTGTCACCGACGGGGTCTTAGCACTATATATAGTATGACCAGAAATTATTGAGAATTTTAGGAATATGTTTTATTGGATTTCTAGTATAAACAACTTTGATCAGCTATCAAGTGCTTGGTATCATTCGAGAGACACAAAAAGCGTTGGGTATAACACAACTTTGATCAGCTATCAAGTGCTTGGTATCATTCAAGAGACACAACTCCGTTAATCCTTTTTCATTAGTTTGTGAAGAGTTATCCCCTTTGTTTACTTGCCAGCAGACGTCATTTTCAGTGATCCTCAGTATGGATGATTTAGAGAATAGGAAGTTGATTTTAGATTATTGTAACAAGGACATCAGATCAGCTAAAGTGATTTCAAGTAGAACAGGCATCCCTTTGTCCACTGTTTGTCGTGTTTTGAAAAATATTGCAAATGGATATGGCATTGAGCACCAGGGGGGCGCAGGTAGGCCCAGAAAATTGACTGTCGGTGACAGGAGGCGGCTTGGTATTCTTGTCTCTAAAAACAAACGAAGGAGTTTAGAAAACTTAAGGCTGGATATGATTGATAGAGGAACTATGGCTGTCTGTAAGGAGACAATTAGAACTGAGCTGCATGCAATGGGTTGGCAGAAACGTCGATGAATTCCATACCGATCATGAAACCTGAACAAAAGGAGCGAAGGTTGAACTGGTGCTTACAGCATAGAAATTTTAACTGGGACAATGTGATTTTATCAGATGAAAGTTCTGTGTGGCTGTTTTCTAATACACTGAGATTCTGGACCAAACAAACTGACAAAACCTTTGTATCAACGCCCAAAGTACAGTCCGAAATTTAACGTGTGGGGTGGCATATCTGTGTTAGGGGCAACGCCCCTCTGTGTATTTGAATATGGGAATATGAACAGTGAGCGGTACACAGATATTCTCGAGGGACATTTACTTCTATCTGCTCTCGTGTTCTATGGAAATGTTTGGATTTCCCAGCAGGAAAACGACCAAAACATCCTTCAAAGCATTCACAGGCCTGGTTTCGGACCCAAAATATGACATTATTAGATTGGCCAAGCTATAGCCCTGACCTAAATCCAATAGAAAATGTTTGGGGACTTATGAAGGAAAGTGTCAATAAGAAAAATCTGACAAAAATAGTGCTGAAATGAAAGAAGAGGTGGTCCGATATTGGGACAGCATGGACCACGACTTTCTAACTTCTTTGATCAGTAATATGCCCCGTCGCATTGAAGCCTGCATTGCTGCCCATGGTGACTTGACAAAATACTAACTGCTCACCTGTCTTTGAATCTGGAGTTATGTTCTGCTAATATTCACATTAAACACGTGAGTAATGAGTGGAAAATAAAAACAAAATTACAATCTTTAAATTCTCAATAATTTCTGGTTGTACTCGAGAAAGAAAGGGATGTAACGAGGTCAACAAACCAAGTTCGTTTCAGGGTAAATTCAACAATGCTCACTGTATTTATCCCATTTATATTATGCACACATTTCAAGTCAATAGATGTACCTACAAAATGAGACATACAGCACAGTAGAAGCAGTACTTTGGGAGCTAGGGTCTTCTTCGGAAGCTCGAAAAGCCTGATTTCTCGATTCCGAGCCAAAATCTCTGCTCAGAATTTGTAGCGGTAACTCACCCATTTCCTTGATTATTTCACAGTATACACAAACGACACTCACCAAAATATGTTGAACTGACGGCACCTGTCAGCGCGCTAGTCGCCATTCTTTCGGAGACACTTATGCCTCACTGTCATAATGAGTTTACGCACATTATTCACTTAAAAGAGCAATGGAGCTTATTGGCTATAAATAGAATGTGTCTCACCAGTACGCTGACTCTATTAAGTGCGGGGCAGGTTAAGGCCAAGGTCGTCAATGGCGAACGAGCACGACTCAATTCTGTTTGCGATGAATAAATGTACGTAAACTCAAGACCCCGTCAGTGACAGTACATACCTTGATGGCAGTTTTTAGCGTTACATGCCCCTGTGGTTAGATGGCGGGCGCCTATGTTTTCGCCACACGAAAAGTTAAGTATCAGTTGCCCGCGTAAAGATCCGGGTTACAACTGACTGACTGAGTTTGGTTTTACGCCGCTTTTAGCAATATTCCAGCAATATCACGGCGTGGGACACTAGAAATGGGTTTTACACATTGTATCCATGTAGGGAATCGAACCCGGGTCTTCGAACGATCGAACGTTTTAAACACAAGGCTACCCCACCGCCCTTTGGGTGAGTGAGTTTGGTTTAATGCAGCTTTAAGCAATATTCCAGCAATAGCAGGGCGGTGGACACCAGAAATGGGCTTTACTCCTTGTACCCATGTGGGGATTCGAACCCGGGTCTTCGGCGTGACGAGCCAGCGCTTTAACCACTAGACTACCCCACCGCCCCTCCGGGTTACAAACCCATTCGTGACCCACTCGTGTTATTCCGGGACAAGCCGAATAGCGACTCGTGCCCCTCTCGAAGGATTTCATATTGGCGCATGAACATCAGAACTACTTTAAACAAGAACGATAACTCTATGCCTGTTTGATACCAATGTTTCATAACATCACCGAAGTACATGTACATTGCTAAGTTGTCGTTCTGTTTTTTTTATCTTATCTATTTTAAAGAATTAAACGTCTTTGATACAACTAACAGAAGGAGAAAATCATATTTGTTAAATTATTACCAGCTGTTCACCTTATATTTCCAATTATGTTAATTTTCTAAATAAGGTTTAATCATCACGAATGGGAATTGTTTTATTGAATATACAAATAAAATTATATTTTTTCAGCTGCATTAAATCCCAAAGCAGATACTCAAAAATGACTTTAAAATATTTCTCAAACTGAACATTCGTGTAACCTTGCTGTCCCACCCCAGGTGGAATTTCAAATGAATTCGCTGAAAACAATATGAATGACCAAAAAACAGTCAGACTAAATATCCCCTGAGCTATGAAATATAAGCCCAATGTTAAAGATTAAGGTTGATTAGTTACATACAAATACGATATTATTGTTTTGAAACTCGTAGCGATTATAATTGCAGTTCCTAAATTGGTCGAAGCGCACGTACAATCTCCATAACAAGCCCGCAAGCTCGTCAGAAATACACTCAGTTGGAGCCGTTATGTCAACAAACGCACGTGCGTCTATTTGAATCTCTCATCGTCAATCGCATGATTCTTATTAAAAACTTCATAATAGCCAGCAAAATCCTTTTAGCTACGTTCTTTGTACTTTCAAAATGACGATATATATTTTTCATGATTCTTTAAACAATGCCATAATGCCATAAACGATTTAAGTACTCGGGATTATTTTTATCAAAGCACCCCTCTCATTTACGCGCGTTCTGATTGGTTTGTCGTATTTTCGCACATAACGAGTGGGGGACGAGTCTTCTTGGAGGTTACGGAAAGGGGCGAGTGGTGACGAATGTTACAAACCATGGTCCAAATCCACAAAGCGTTCGTAACTTTACGACCTGTCGTAAATACATAGTTATTCACAGACTTACGAATGTCGTAGCGCTACGAACTTTCTGTGGATAGGGGCCCATGCTTGTAATTAATAATACGTGAAATTCCAGAAACTGTGAAAATCTGGGAGACTAGTTTGGAAGTCTGCCTGTAATGTGTTTTGGGATCTGTATGAGAGACTTTTTCCACTTGGAACCTGGTTGTACTTGTACCCCTTGTGTGATACTACATCCCCATTGCCTGCCGCTTGCAGGTACACACGCAGCCAGCTACACGGCTCGGTACTTCACGTACAGTACGACCGCCGTATCATGGAACACAGCCTACACTACCTGCTCCCTCACCGGGGGTCATCTCATCACGGTCGACAACAACGTCACCATCAACGTACTCAAGTATATCCGTGCTCAACCGGAGGCCGCAGTTGTGTAAGTCGTTTTGAAATACGTGTTAGAGTGAGTATGGTTTTACGCCGCTTGTAGCAATATCATGATCCCATAAATGGGCTTCACTCATTGTACCCGTGAGGGGAATTGAACCCGGGTCTTCAGCGTCATGACCGGACGCTTTAACCATAAGGCTACCCCACAGCCCCAATGCATGCTAGAGTGAGTGAGTGAGTTAATATTTAACGTCACATCGGCAATATTTCAGCCATATCGTGACGAGAATGCATGCTAGAAATAGATGGGCTGGAGGTGTATTCTTCAATAATGAGTGTGAGTAAGTCAGAATGGCTTTAGACTGCTTTCAACAATATTCTAGCAATATCACGGTTTTAGCAATATTCTAGCAATATCACGGTTTTAGCAATATTCCAGCAATATCACGGCTTTAGCAATATTTCAGCAATATCACGGCGGGGGACACCAGGCAGGGACGTCGTTAATACGACAGCAGACCTGGTATAAATCACAGGGTCTTGGAACGCAAAAATATTTTTTTCAAGGTATATACCTTGATGCCAGCTTTTTGCGTTACAAACCTCTGTGGTATAGATGGCAGCAATAACCTTTTTTCATTTTTGAATGTTTATTACTGTAAACGTATGGGCTTTGTACATATGGAGGAAACTGTTATTAAAAACATAGCTTACAGAAAAATCAACTCCTAAATTATAATCATAAAATAAAATGAAAAGGAGCCCAGAGACTTTTTTCATTTCCTGAAACTGTGGCAATATCTAGACTTGAGGGTGCTTTCTTGGATATGTTTGTTTCAGGGTCAGAGACTAACAGGCAGGCATCCAAGAAAAATCAACATTTCAAAACTTTCCCCTCCGCCAGGGAGATGAAAGCAATCAGTCATTTCAGCACAGATTCACAAATCACCACGATAGTGTTCAGCAAAATATGAAATTTCGTTGGAGTCAGTATAACATATGTTATATTTGGGATTACACATTCTTAGTAAAGTACAGATTCTTGTAGTTCTTTTGATTCAGTCCCATCCGGGATTCGAACCCACACCCTCAGAGTCAGGCACCTAATCGCCAGCACACAAAGTCAGCCGCCTAACCCACTCAGACACCGCGGCTTCCACAGTGTCAAGTTCATTTCATTTTCATGTTTGCAAATACTACAAGTTGAATATTAGAAGAAACGATTATGCACACAGCTGAAGTCCCTATCATTCTTTCCCTGGACAGTTCAAACAAGATCTGGATGGGGTTGCACAACACTGCACCGACGTCGGACGTCCCTGAGTACGTTTGGGCTGACTGCAAACACCTCGACGACAACAACTCCATGTGGCTTCGCGGGGAGCCAAACGATGTGCAAACTGACCGTTGCATAATTACCACCTCTGAATACGAGTGGATGACGAAGCCCTGTACTCAAACCTATAGCTTCTTCTGTGAAAACATCGCCAACGGTAATTACAGCCCCTAATAATTATTTAGGTCATAGAATAGTGCGGACTGCGTTGTGAACACAGAAAAGTACACCTATGTTCGCTGTAGACTATTTCCGCAAATCCCCGAGCATCTGAAATGATATCTAGATCTATTTCAACTGACTGAGTTTGGTTTTACGCCGCTTTTAGCAATATTCCAGCAATATCACGGCGGGGGACACCAGAAATGGGCTTCACTCATTGTACCCATGAGGAGAATCGAACCAGGGTCTTCAGCGTGACGAGCCAACGCTTTAACCACTGGATTACCCCACCGCCCATTTTCTGAAAAGAACCACTCACAGTGGTAGAGGATACATGATCACAGTTTGTATTTTACAAGATGTCGTCCAATACCTTGACGTACAGCCATATTAAGTCACATCATGTGTTCTGTAACTGATCGTACCTGCAATCACATGACAGGTGACACAATCAGCTCCCCAGGGAGTTCAGTGTATAGACTATTGGTCTCAAGGATCCACAACCATGTACATTGAAGATCGGCTGGTTGCAGTGATTTCTGGGCTGGATGTCCGCGTGGCGTGGATTGTAATCAACCCGTTGTATTCATAAACTGACTTGATGCATATGCATCCCAACCAGCTTCTGCGTAGGTTCAGCATAGATCCGTGACCCACTACTTAATTGAGGATTGGCTGGTTACAATCGTTCAACTTCTTGGTGTGATTGGTTTTACATGATCTCAGCCCGTGATACGCCACACCGACTTGAAATAGACGTATCCCAATCAGCTCCTGTGAGGATTTAGTACAGGTCCCTAGGACCCACTACGTAATTGAGGATCGGTTGGTTACAGTGAATGACCGGTGCATAAGGTGTCTTCGTCACGCCTGGGACGCATTGATGTGGTGTCCAGAATGGGTCCCGAGGAACAACAACTATATTAAGGATCAGATGCTACAGTTGAGGATTGGGTGGCCATACCCCCTCTTGTCCATGCCTCTTATGATATACGCCGTTGGTATGCCTGGACCAAGCCTGACTTACATGACTTCCTGGTGTCGCTGGCAAAAAAACCTAAACCAACACTAGTTTACTCACTCAGTTATATCACGGGAGCGGTGGGGTAATCTAGTGGTTAAAGCGTTGGCTCGTCACGCCGAAGACCCGGGTTCGAATCCCCACATGGGTACAATGAGTGAAGCCCATTTCTGGTGTCCCCCGCCGTGATATTGCTGGAATATTGCTAAAAGCGGCGTAAAACCAAACTCAGTCAGTCAGTCAGTCATATCACGTGGGTTGTGATTAGATGCTTTTTTGTCGACAAGGTATGAGAATCTGAGAAATGGAATGACAGATAATACATGATCTCTGATCGAACCTCCACGCATATTGCTCATCTTCATTATTCATAAACTAGATGCATATGTGCAGTGTTTCATGAAGTAGATTCAGCGGGGCAGAAATGTATTTAACAGTAAGTCAGTAAGTGAATCGGATTTTGCGCCCATTCTTTTGCAATATTCCATCAAAATATCACGAAAGGGGACACCTGAAATGGGCTTCACACATTAGACCCATGTGGGGATTTGACCCCAAGAATTCGTCGTTACCAGCGAACGCTTTATCCACCAGGTTGCCCCACCGCCCTAGTGCACACAGGTCTCTATAGCAAGAAGAATCTCTGCGACTTTCAAGTCGTCAGCTTTTCCCTGTGTTGAGCAATATTCGGTCGTTTTCTGTTTTTCAAAAGTAAACCTAGATTGGGAATGAGCATTTGATGTCTACCTTATGGGGGATAATCGACTGTCAAATCAACCGATCAAATTTGACTTAACGGAGCATCAAAGTGAACTTTATCAAATGTTGCATTGTCAGTGCGGATACACGATGCCATTTCGAGAGTTTCAAATTGTAACATGTTAACAGGAATAGATGATAGCGGACATCTGTGAATTGTTCTTGTTTCTTACAGTTTCACCATTGAACATGTTCAACTTCAAAGCCAGAGATTAACCAGTCTGGATTATCGCGGATACTGATTCCCGTGAACATAAACGCAAATTGAAAAAAAATTCTTGGAGAGATTTATTTTCAAAAATAAGATGTCACAGATATTCCTCTGTTGTGTATTATACGGATATGTTGGAGCAGAATACTTAAAGTTTTTAAATCAAATTTAAATAATGTAAAACCATGTACAAATAGTCTTTGAAAGCTAAGTGCCAGTGCATAAAATATCACTTAACATATACTCTGCCAAAAAATATGGAACGCAAAAGTAGAAAAAATTATCACAAGAGGTTTTTCTGATATCCATGCAAAATGAATACGAAATGTGCTTTTCCTATGTCTGCATGCATCGGGTGTGATTTGTGGGTGTAGTATAAACTACGTCTAAAACATACCGAAAAAGTGGAAGAAAAGCAAAACGCAAAGACGTGGGAACGTGGCGGCCAAACGCACAAACATTAAATGAATGTGAAACATGAGTAGTTGGTCTATGCAAACGATGGGTTTCATTTGTCTGTCATCACAATTGTTCAGCAAGTGAAAACATGCCACAACTGACTGAAGCTCAAGGCAGCATCAACAGGCGAATCGACTTCAGTCGTAGGCACATATTTCCACGTCTCGAGAAGCACCATTACAAAATAATCGAACCGTTATTAGGGATCAACACGTGACCTACCCAGATCAGGTCGACCACGTGTCACAACTGCAGCGTACGACAGGTTGTTACGAGTTCGTCAGTTACGTTAAAGGTGGGCCACGGCAACCTCTACAGCAATACCAGGATTGCATAGAATATCAGCCCCGACGGTGAGGAATTGCACGTATTCAGTTGTGTCAAGGACACAGAGTATGGCCGCAACAGCGATGATGACGTTTTCAGTTTAGGTTTTCGAATTTTTGCCTAGGAACGTCATACAGACGGAAGGCGTCTTGTTAACAGACATCACAGGGACGTTATGCTCGAAACTGCCTACAGGAAGTGGACAGGTGTGGTGGAGAAAGCGTAATGAGGGCTGAATTTCCCATAACGGTAGAACAGACTAGTACACGTCCATGTCAACTAAACGGAACGTTACATGGATGGAATACTTCGGCTACACACGTCTTCCCATTATTCAACAATGAAACGTCATTTTTCAACGCCCGACCCTACCAAGCAAGACCAACAACGTTTGTTTTTGAGGAACCACAACATTCAAGTACTGTCATGTCCCTCAAGGTTTCAAGATCCAAACCGCATCGAACATTTATAAGAGACCCTTGATCAACGCCTGAGATCACGTCAACAACCGCCACAGGACCTCCAACAGTTGACACAAGCACTATTGCGTTTCTCTTTATTTTTAGCAGAGTATATTTTCTAATACATGTTATATAACAGTTATTTTCAACTGAGGTGTATTCACAGTTTCTTTTGCTCCTTCCTTTAAGTGGTGGTGTTCACCAGCCTGTGGAATAATGACCGTGACATCTGTTTTCACATATCGCTTTCACAAAGCTCACCTTGATTATCATTGTGAGAATCTGGCGAATGGTCACGTGCGTAGTTGAATATTCGCACCGTACGGTGTTTGTCACAAAGCCGAGATGCGTCAAGCAGTATGAAGATAGCGAACACTGCTGCAAGAACACCAATTGCCAACATCCCCATTTTCCTCGAGGAAGGTCTGCTATCTTCGGCACTTTCTCTTCGCCTTCTGAATGCAGACATCTCGCTTCGCCTCAGTCTCGTGACCGTCACAGCGTCGTTGAAGGACTGACCTGGACACGTGTGTTTAGGGCAAGCACAGAGTCGGGGAAGTCCACTTGATGCTGCTGACGTAGTACCACCTTGACGGTACGTACCTGTTGACGTTGGTGTTGACGATGTAGATGCTCCATCTGAAGTGCAAGAAGGTGTTGACACTGTTGTACCTTCAGCTGTAGTGTAGTGAGCTCTCTGTGTGGATGTAGCTTCAGTATTGCCACCAATGGTAGTTGTCAGGGCGTCGGAGGACTGATGAGTGCCATCGTATATTGTCTGTGTAGATGTAGCTTCAATATTGCCACCAATGGTAGTTGTCAGGGCGTCGGAGAATGGATGAGTGTCATCGTGTGTTGTCTGTGTAGATGTAGCTTCAATATTGCCACCAATGGTAGTTGTCAGGGCGTCGGAGGATGGATGAGTGTCATCGTGTATTGTCTGTGTAGATGTAGCTTCAATATTGCCACCAAAGATAGTTGTCAGGGCGTCGGAGGATGGATGAGCCTCATCGAATATAGCCTGTGTAGATGTAGCTTCAATATTGCCACCGAAGGTAGTTGTCAGGGCGTCGGAGGATGGATGAGTGTCATCGTATATTGTCAGTGTAGTTGTAGCTTCAATATTGCCTCCAAAGGTATTTGTCCGGGTGTCGGAGGATGGATGAGTGTCATCGTGTGTTGTCTGTGTAGATGTAGCTTCAATATTGCCACCAAAGGTATTTGTCCGGGTGTCGGAGGATGGATGAGTGTCATCGTATATTGTCTGTGTAGATGTAGCTTCAATATTGCCACCGAAGGTAGTTGTCCGTGCGTCGGAGGATGGATGAGTGCCATCGTATATTGTCAGTGTAGATGTAGCTTCAATATTGCCACCAAAGGTATTTGTCCGGGTGTCGGAGGATGGATGAGTGTCATCGTGTGTTGTCTGTGTAGATGTAGGTTGAATATTGCCACCAAAGAAAGTTGTCAGGGCGTCGGAGGATGGATGAGTGACATCGTGTGTTGTCTGTGTAGATGTAGCTTCAATATTGCCACCGAAGGTAGTTGTCCGTACGTCGGAGGATGGATGAGTGCCATCGTATATTGTCAGTGTAGATGTAGCTTCAATATTGCCTCCAAAGGTATTTGTCCGGGTGTCGGAGGATGGATGAGTGTCATCGTGTGTTGTCTGTGTATATGTAGGTTGAATATTGCCACCAAAGGTAGTTGTCCGTGCGACGGAGGATGGATGAGTGTCATCGTGTGTTGTCTGTGTAGATGTAGCTTCAATATTGGCACCAAAGGTAGTTGTCCGTGCGTCGGAAGATGGATGAGTGCCATCGTCTATTGTTTGTGTAGATGTAGCTTCAATATTGCCTCCAAAGGTATTTGTCCGGGTGTCGGAGGATGGATGAGTGTCATCGTATATTGTCTGTGTAGATGTAGCTTCAATATTGCCACCAAAGGTAGTTGTCAGGGTGTCGGAGGATGGATGAGTGTCATCGTGTGTTGTCTGTGTAGATGTAGGTTGAATATTGCCACCAAAGGTAGTTGTCCGTGCGACGGAGGATGGATGAGTGTCATCGTGTGTTGTCTGTGTAGATGTAGCTTCAATATTGGCACCAAAGGTATTTGTCCGGTCGTCGGAGGATGGATGAGCGTCATCGTGTGTTCTCTGTGTAGATATAGCTTCAATATTGCCACCAAAGATAGTTGTCAAGGTGTTGGAGGATGGATGAGCCTCATCGAATATTGTCTGTGTAGATGTAGCTTCAATATTGCCACCGAAGGTAGTTGTCCGTGCGTCGGAGAATGGATGAGTGTCATCGTATATTGTCTGTGTAGATGTAGCTTCAATATTGCCTCCAAAGGTATTTGTCCGGGTGTCGGAGGATGGATGAGTGTCATGGTGTGTTGTCTGTGTAGATGTAGCTTCAATATTGTCTCCAAAGGTATTTGTCCGGGTGTCGGAGGATGGATGAGTGTCATAGTATGTTGTCTGTGTAGATGTAGCTTCAATATTGCCACCAAAGGTATTTGTCAGGGTGTCGGAGGATGGATGAGTGTCATCGTGTGTTGTCTGTGTAGATGTAGCTTCAATATTGCCACCAAAGGTATTTGTCAGGGTGTCGGAGGATGGATGAGTGTCATCGTATATTGTCTGTGTAGATGTAGCTTTAATATTGCCACCAAAGGTAGTTGTCCGTGCGTCGGAGGATGGATGAGTGCCATCGTATATTGTCTGTGTAGATGTAGCTTGAATATTGCCACCAAAGTTATTTGTCCGGGTGTCGGAGGATGGATGAATGTCATCGTGTGTTGTCTGTGTAGATGTAGGTTGAATATTGCCACCAAAGGTAGTTGTCACGGCGTCGGAGGATGGATGAGTGACATCGTATATTGTCTGTGTAGATGTAGCTTCAATATTGCCTCCAAAGGTATTTGTCCGGGTGTCGGAGGATGGATGAGTGTCATCGTGTGTTGTCTGTGTAGATGTAGGTTGAATATTGCCACCAAAGGTAGTTGTCCGTGCGTCGGAGGATGGATGAGTGCCATCGTGTATTGTTTGTGTAGATGTAGCTTCAATATTGCCACCAAAGGTATTTGTCCGGGTGTCGGAGGATGGATGAGTGTCATCGTATATTGTCTGTGTAGATGTAGCTTCAATATTGCCACCAAAGGTAGTTGTCAGGGTGTCGGAGGATGGATGAGTGTCATCGTGTGTTGTCTGTGTAGATGTAGCTTCAATATTGCCACCAAAGGTAGTTGTCAGGGTATCGGAGGATGGATGAGTGCCATCGTGTGTTGTCTGTGTAGATGGACCTTCAGTATTTACACCGAAGGTAGTTGTCAGGGTGTTGGAGGGTGGATGAGTGTCATCGTATATTGTCTGTGTAGATGTAGCTTCAATATTGCGACCGAAGGTAGTTGTCCGGGTGTCGGAGGATGGATGAGTGTCGTCGTGTGTTGTCTGTGTAGATGTAGCTTCAATATTGCCACCAAAGGTAGTTGTCAGGGCATCGGAGGATGGATGAGTGCCATCGTGTGTTGTCTGTGTAGATGGACCTTCAATATTGACAACAAAGGTAGTTGTCAGGGTGCTGGAGGGTGTATGAGTGTCATCGTATATTGTCTGTGTAGATGTAGCTTCAATATTGCCACCAAAGGTAGTTGTCAGGGCATCGGAGGATGGATGAGTGCCATCGTGTGTTGTCTGTGTAGATGGACCTTCAATATTGACACCAAAGGTAGTTGTCAGGGTGCTGGAGGGTGTATGA